TTTTTTTTTTTTTCCCCCTTGTAGTGTTTTGGAACAGCACAAACTGACAAAAGAACAATGGGAAGAAAGAATACAGAACTGGCATGAAGAACACAGAGGAATGCTAAGGTATTGGAGTGGCTATTTTCTTAGTGTTTTTCCTCAATTTAAAGTATTTTTATTTCATAATATTTATTACTACATCTGATCATCCCCAAAAGATTATTTGATTTATGTGAATAAACACAATACACTGAATTTTAATCTAAGGGATTTTAAAATTTCAGTTTAGTATTAGATAATCTTACTTAAATATATTACAGTTATTCTGTTTCAACAGGGAAGATTCCATGATGGAATACCTGAAGATTGCACAAGATCTGGAAATGTATGGAGTCAACTATTTTGAAATAAAAAATAAAAAGGGAACTGAATTGTGGCTAGGTGTTGATGCTTTGGGTCTGAATATTTATGAGCATGATGACAAGTAAGTAAATTAATTGTATAGTGAACTAGTCATTATTCAGTGGTCTAAATGGCTTTAATCTTAAGTCTCATTTGTAAAAGTTGTTTTTTGGCCTGATTACCCTTCTGCTAAAATTAAAAGATTAGTAATGCCACATAGATATTGGAGTTCCATTTTCTCAGCATCTTACAGTTTGGGAGTTTTGCTTCTCATTTGATAAACGTATCAAATAGGATGATTCGTTTTTATTTGAAGTGTGCTTCATGAGTTCCCTCAGTAGGTAAAGAGTGATTTCTTAAATGCCGTTATGCCTGGCAAATAGGATGAAATTGCAGTTGTAACTTATGTAAGAAGTCAGGAGCACCAGGAGAATGAAAATAATAGGTGCGTGATTTATTATATTTTATAATTTGTTTTGGAAAATTTACGTATAGGAATTATTTTGACTATTTGAATATCCATAAAGTAGAGTATCCGTGTATTACGCATAGTAAACAATGTAAGTATATTTTGAAATTTATCACATATTTTTAGATTTATATAAAGCACATCAAGCTCTTGTAGCACTCTTTGGGAATGATAGCTACAGTTGTCTTATGCCTTTCTTTCGTTTATTTACTATGCTACATAAGCATCCAAGTTTGTGCCAGTAATGCCTTCTTCTGGTTTGGCTCCAGGACTTTCCTTTTCATTATTACATATATTTAATAAAATAAACATTTCTAAACATGTATGGAAACCCTGGTGGCGTGGTGGTTAAGCATATATAGTGACTCCAAAAGAGAGCATTTTACGAATTTTTATCCCAGCACTTTTTCAAGTTTACAAACAATGTTAAAATGTTATAGCATTCAAAAGAGAAAATTTTTCAAAAGCAAAGATGGCTTCAAGACTAATTTTTGTGAACCAGATCTTCTTTTTTTTTTTTTAAATTATTGAATTGGTTTCTGTTGAGCACCTATTATAGATATGAATACAGATAAAGTGGGGAAAATGAAAGAAGGGGTTAGCACAGAATGTAACTGGGGATGGTGGACAGAGGGGACTTGTGTTCTCTATCATTTGCAATTTCTTTTTATCATGAAAACTATTTATTTATTACTTGTGTTCTCTACCACACCCACACCCAAATTTTTTTGTTTTGTTTTAAATCAAATTAGGATACAACTTAAAAGGCTTAGTTAAGTTCTTTTACCAGCCCTACTACTAATTACCTTTGTGACCCCAGTCAAGTTGTTTACTCTCTGAAGTGAGTATAACTGCCAGGCTCACTTCACTTAAGAAGATTGTTGTGAGAATTATCTAAGGAAATTGCTTTAGAGCTTTTTAAAAGTAGCACATAAATGTAGTGTAATATTACCTTAAACATGTAACTTTGGCTTATCCCAGTGGCCATTAGAAGGCAATATAACATGTATATATGTGGATTTTTCCTTTTTTTTTTTTTAATTGTACTTCAGGTGAAGGTTTATAGAACAAATAGTTTCTCATTAAACAGTAGTGCACATATTGTTTTATGACATTGGTTAACAACCCCACGACATGTCAACCCTCTTCCTTCTTGACCTTTTTTTTTTTTTCTTTTTGTGAAAATATAC